GACATAAGTCCATCCTAATGAAGTACGGAATATGATCTTTTCCATGGGATCGAAACAGGCCTCAGGATCTGGCGGATTCACGGGGAAGTTTTTCAAAACTTTTTGGGATATTGTCGGCAATTCTGTGATTACAGCGGTTTAATCTTTCTTTATCACGGATAGGATGCTCCATAGCTTTAATCATACTTGGCTAACTCTAATCCCCAAAGTGGATAATGTCGAGACCATGAGGCAACTCAAGCCAATTAGCTTGTGGCAATTCGTGTATACAGTGATAACTAAGATCATGGCGAAAAGGCTGGTCTGTCTCTTACCACAAATCATTTCAGACGGGCAAAATGCCTTTATCCATGAAAGGAAAATAGTGGAGAATGTCCTCCTAGGGCATGAGTTAATGCACTACTTGAAAATCAAAACAAAAGGCAAGAAAGGGTACATGGCTCTAAAGGTTGACATGGAAAAGGCCTATGATAGAGTCGAATGGCCTTTTTCTCCTTGTTGTTTTGGATAAACTGGGTTTTAACTCTAGCTAGCGAGGCTGGATATATGAATGCCTACGATCCACATATTTTTAGGTCTTAATTAATGGCACTCCCTTGGTTTTCTTCTCTCCCTCAAGGGGCCTTCGGCAAGGGGATCCGCTTTCTCCACTCCTGTTTGTGATTTGCACGGAGGAGTTTGCGGCACTCCTTCGAAAAGCTATTTCTAAAGGGAAATTATAAGGGGTTAAGGTTGCCCCTAGAGCTCCTTAAATATCTCATATGTTTTTTGCATGACTCTTATTTGTTCCTTAGTGGCCAAATGAATAACTTGGATATATCGGCAGTTTGCTTTGGTAAGAATATTTCTCTGCCCGATCAGGAGTTATTGGCCCAGATATTGGGTGTTGGGGCTGTGGGGGTCCAGGATAAGTATCTGGGGCTGCCTACCCTTATAGCCCAATCTAAAATGACCACGTTCCGATATTTGGAAGAGAAGTTGTTAGAACAACTTCAGTCGCTTTAGCTTTGTCGTTGCATGTTATGTCCTATTTCAAGTTACCTCTCTCCCTTTGTCGTCTTTTGGACAGACATGTGGCCAGGTTCTGGTGGGGTGTCGAAGAGGGACAATCTAGGATAAAGTGGATGTCCTTGCGTAATATGTGTCGGAGTAAATATGATGGGGGTATGGGATTTCGTCGATTCAAAGATTTTAATCAGGCTTTGTTAGCCAAGATTGGATGGTGTATCCTAAATGAACCTCTCTCCCTTTTAGCTCAAGTGTAAAAAGGGAGATATTTTCGTAATGTTACTTTCCTCGCTGCTAAAGCTCGCTCTCGCCCGTCTTGGGGATGGCAGAGTATCCTATATGGTCGGGAGCTTTTGGGGAGGTGGCTTCGGTGGTAAATTGGTAATGGGCAGAAAGCTCCTCTCCTTCGCTCCAAATGGATTCCCCGGCTTCATCCTCATACACATGTGTTTAATACCCGAGTTTTGGCTGAGGGTGGCAACATGCTGGTGGCAAAGGTCCTTAGCCAAGGGCAGGGGCGTTGGTGCAACCATAAAATTAGCCAATGATTTGATCCGGCAACATGTCATGCCATCAAACAAATTCCTCTTCCCCAACAGAAAGTTGAGGATAGACTAATATGGCATGACACGGCTGACGGGATTTTCACTGTTAAATCAGCCTATCATTTTGTCGTCTCATTGGACAAGCAGAATGGTCAATGGAGATCCTTGGCTAGTTGGATGAATAGGTCCAGCTGGATGCGTTTGTGAGAGGCCAATATTCCACCCAAGTTGAAAGTGTTCTTATGGTAGATTTTTAATCACATCCTGCCTACGATGGAAGCTCTAATAGAGAAAGATGTCCTGGTACTTGCTCGTTGCCCAGTTTGTTGGGCAGAATTAGAAACAATGGAACATTTGTTCCTGGATTGTCCTGTGGCTAGGGCTTTATGGGATTACTCGAGACTCGAGCTTCTTGGTCAAAGGGCTTCCGCGTCACACGTTCCTGCTCTTCCTGAAAAATTTGATGGTTCTCTTTGATCAAGCTCAACTGTTTATGTGGGTGGTGGTAGTCTTTTGGAGGATCTGGCGGTCACGAAATTACGTAGTCTTTGAGGGCAAACAGTTTGGATTCCCAGCTTTGATGTGACAATTTAACCAACAATACCATGAATAGATTAGTTTGCCTGTCGACCATGGTCTTCGTGTGCTCCCCCCTTTTCCCCAACCTCTGGGTGTTGTGCATCTGAACTCGATAGTCTGTATGTGGGATGGGGCTATGAAATGTGGTTCCCATTCACAGGCAGGATGGTTATTTTTGACGAAGAGGGTATCATTCTCTTGGCTAAAGGGGTGCAGTTTCAGGATATCGATGATCCAATGGTCGTTGAGGTGCTAGTTCTCCGGGAGGCTATTCTCTTCTACTTAAGCCATGGATTTCTGGTGGTGAGGTTTGAAGGTGATGCGCAAGTGGTCATTAAGAAGATCCATCGTGCGGATGCCCGCGATACTCGGATGGGGGCCATTCTGGAGGAGGTCGTGCAACATTTTGCTAATCATAGTGGGCTTAGTGCGATTTGTAGGTCGGAGTACCAATAGGGTACCCCATTTGGTCGCTAGGAAGGCCCTTTCTTTGTATCCGACTATGTCGCTCTTTTGATTTTTTGGCTTGATTGAATTCCAGGATGTAACTACCTATTTTTCCAATCAATATATCTGATTATCTTTTGTCAAAAAAAAAAACAAATCATGTCTTATTTTTTCATTCAAATTGTATTATCGTACAAAAAAATAAGATTAATTATAATCTATGACATAAAAAGCTAGTTTTTTAGAACCCAATTGAATTTTTAATTAATATTAGATTGATTTGCATCAATTTATGATTAAAAAAAATGACAACTAGACTGATATAATTTGATCCTGTTTTAGCTTTTATAAAAGGTGTTTCTAATTGAAAATTGAAAAATATAATACTCTAAAAAATTTGAGAATTTAACTGATAAACTATTAGAAATATATTTTAATATCAATATGATGTTAAATGACTAAAAATTTATCATTTATATATACAATAATATAAATGGAAAATTATACAATAGTATAAATGACTAAAAAGTTATCACTATAAAAAAAATTTGGATAAGGATATTGCTTATGTTTGGCTCTAATTTTAGAATGAGTTTTATGTTTAAAAAGGTGAAGTTGGGACAAACACCTCCATCAGTCTGATTTTTGAAAAAGTTGGAAATTGTTTTTGTATAACATAAACTGATAAAAGCACAAACTTCAATTTGGAGCACTTCGGCGAAATGGTCGATCGAATGATACCTTATCTTGTTGCAATGGAACTCCACCATTATAAAGAAAAAGAACGGCCGACTGCTTTCTTCCACAGGTCAACCGAATTGAAGAGAAAGTATCTACCTCAATAGGACCGCTTGGGGTTGTATGATATAACATATTGAGTTTGCACAGTGAACTAAATGGCCGACCATTCCATTGAAGAGGTCAAACCTCTTGTTTTCGAGTCGGCCGATTGAAGATGACATGCACACACTAACAAGGTTTTGTTATACCGGTCGACCGCCTTTTCATATAGGTCTACCTCTTTCTAGTAAAGGCGCTAACAAACAAACTAGTGTTTGTTCTGGTTGACCACCATGTTGTCTAGGTCGATCGGTTTTGAGTAACAAAACGTCCATTAAGTGAATCTCATAAACCACATTACAAATTTGCTTATTCAATCCACAACCATGATCGTACAAAAAAACATAGTTTACAAAGCTCAATCCACAATCCTCACACACTTCACATTAGTCCACAAAAAGCAAAACTCTAAAATCATAACATATAAAACTCATTTCACTAATACAAATAAAATCCATGATGACATTCATGGAGTCCCCTGACCTCTCTCCTCTCACTCATTTCGTTCTTTTTTTTTTAAACAGAGCGCCAAAGGCGCCCTAACCTTTATTGCACACGAACAAAATGAAGAGTTTGACTCCCCACCCGATCAAATTAAAGTACATCCAATACAAAAGAGAAGTACTTGGCCTATCTAACACATGCAACCCTATCGAGTAAGAGTGCTCTATGGACAGGGGCGTAGCTAGCTTGGAGGAAGGGCCTTGCCAATTCAACAAGAAAAAATATATATACATGAAAATGGAACCGAATAGAAATATGAAAGAATTGAAAAATCATGTCGGATGTTGCATCGAAAAAGTTAGCAGCTGAGTATTTTATGCTGAAACTGCGGTTCAACCGTCATACCACTAAACACCGCATACCGATTTCGCTTCCAGTAAGAGTTTTTTTTTTGTTAAACCGCCGGTACGGGTTTTCAATCCTTGGAAAAAATTACTCAATTGCACCCTCGAGTTAGTTGTTTGTGAGAGAAAAAATATTTTTTCTCAACTTACATTAAAAACTAAAATGTTTATTAAAAATTCACCAAAGACTAACTAGTCTTAAATTAACGCCCACACAACTAAATTATAAATCTCTCGTTGCCTACATTCCCTCAAAAAATTCTCAATATTTTAAGTCGAATAAGCGATAATATCATAAATTTTCTTTTATATGAGACCTTTCAAATAAAATTCTCGATAGCTAACCTTTTTAAAGTATGAAAAGACCATGACATATTTTTAAACCGGAACCCCCTTTGTATCAATCTGGCTACTTCACTGCCTATGAAAGCTAAACTATCCGCTACGAAATTCTCATCTCGTTCTTTTTAATTGCTTGTGCTACAATTAAGGTGTCATCTGGTAGACCGTTTTGAGTGAGCGGTCATTCCGGTCAACCGTTATGAGCCAATCAAAACTCCAAATCTATCGTGTTGTGGGTCATCGAGCCATGAATCGCTCGTATTCTGGCTAGGCAAGTTATGGGCCATTGAATTAGAAGCCAATTTTGGGTGCAAGCAGATCCCAGATTGGGTTAACCTATTACTTGAGTAATCTCTATTTTGATACCTCTGTAGACTGTATGGGATATCCTGAAGAAATAAGCATGAGCCATGAGCTACTAACTGGCTAGAAACATAGCAACAACAGTATCCAAAAAGACATCCGTCGAATAGACATGAAAATCAGAAACAACCTTCAATGAAATATCAACTTCAAGCCAACACAACGTTCGTAAATAGCATTATAATGTTCATCTAGAGAAATACATGCAAAAGCTTACAAATTGAAACCTATAATGTTAATACCAACACAAACTACCTGACCAGCTTTACGAAAAGAAAATTAAAGGTAACCCCAACCTTAAATTTAGTTTGCTGGTTCTTGATTTACCACTTCTTTCCACGCCCACGCCCGCGGCCTCGACCTCGTCCGCCTCTTCCTCCACCACCACCACCACCTTTGCCTCCGTGACCTTTACCACCGCCACCACCATGTCCTTTCAATTCCTCCGGCAAGGGAAGAATGTTGTCAACACACTTCCTGAAGCTGAAATCCTCCACAGAATCATCTTCCCTGACAAGGAAGAAGCACTGACTCTTCCACATCGGGTGACCTCGAATTTGAAAAGATCGGACCCCAGAACCAATCTTTTCCTCCGACTCTTGATGACCCTTCTTCAGCAATTCCATCAAAACCAAGTGCTCATACTACAATTGCACCAAAAGCAAACAGGTTACATACATATATATCACAGTCCAAAAAAGAGCAAGCAGCATCAGCATTCTGATAGACAAATTCAGACTGATATACATAATCCAATCGACCCAGAAACTGAATATCTACAAAGGTTAACAACATGAAAAGCTTGCAGTTACGCATCAAAACATGACAGCACAATTAACCAATCCGAGCTTAAACCCACCCTCAAAAAACAATCTTTTGACAGGACAGCGACACATCTGAATCCACATAAACTATTTAATGTACGAGGCAGACGTACACAGCCAGTTTGCAGAGCAGTTTAAGGCACTGATAGACTTTGGCGAAGACTAAACATTACATTCTTCCACTAGATCAGGATTAGGGAACCTTAGTCCACAACTAACAAATAACAAACAGAATACCGAAGAGGTCACTGTACCCACCCGCAACATCAAAATGCTATGCATGTAATTAACAACAGAAAGTTGCCCATTGATTAAGTCGGTTTTTTTAACCTTTTTTAATCCTCAATTTGACTAACACACACCAGGGAACGAATCAATTATCAAACTGAACAAGCCAGATTAATTGAATAGCTTTCTGGAGTACTCAACTTCCCTATCAAGTGGGTAAGTTCTAGGAGCCGGTCTGCCGATGGGATGCCTACATTAGATTACTAAATCAACATATTTGCTTCGAAGATGTCATCTCATCAATGCCGTCAGATGCAAATTATCTGGGCAGAGTGCAGTCAGTCATATAAATGATGGGAAATCTTGTAGCTCGCAGAAACGAATAGTCAAAAACCAAACACACAATGATCACATAAGTTCTGACATTGTAGGCAAATCAAATAAGAGCGAAGGGGGACCCAAAACTTCATAACGTAAAATACCTTGTTCAAATCCAAATTGCTCGGCCAAGCGTGAAGCAACTTGAAGAAATAATCAAACATCTGAGTGGCAGTTCCGAATTTCTTCGGACCCAAGCTGACAACCACTTCCTCGGAAGACTCTCCCCCAACTTTTTCTTCTTCTCCTGCTGCTGCTGATCCCTCATTTTCTCCTTCCGCTGACTTCTCCACCTTCTGCTTCTTGGTGTCATCGCCGTTCGCACCTTCCTGCACCTCCCTGGCTCGCTTCCCTCCTTCGTTCGATTCGGAAATCTCCATGTCTGCGCCGGCTGAGACGACCGGCTCTGGATTGCTTACAGCCGCCTCGGCTGCTGTCACTTCCGCCATGATCGAAAAAAGAAGAGAGGAGAAGGGGGCGACCTTTTGAACAGTAACCGTTCGTAGTTGGAAGAAGATGGTCTGGTAGAAGAAGACGGTGGAAGTAGTAGAGCGAGTGAGGGTTTGTGAGGGTTTTTCAATAAGATGATGGAAGTGGGGGAGTGGGGGAGCGAGGGACGGTTTTTTTTCTTTTTTCATGGGTAAATTGCAAGTTTGGTCACTAAAAATATTTAATTCCATTCGTGGTCATTAAAATTAGTCTAATAGTTCAAATTTGGTCATTCTCCGTTAAATTTATCTGATGTGGCAGTCAACTAATAGAGTTGACCGTTAAATAAAGTGACGTGACAATAAAAAAATAAAGTATTTACAATTTCCAACTCATTTTTACAACTATTAAAAAATTAGAATTAAAATTAATTTTCCCATCTTTCTCTCCTGTACTTCCCTCACGTCGGATTCCTTGTCTTCCACGGTTCCCCATCATAATTTGATCCCCGCCGACCCCTGCTCCGACGCAAGCCACCAAAAAAATTCCGCGTGTACAACATCCTCGTCGAGCCTCAATCGAAGGAGATAGTAATAACCACTTACCCATATTTCAATCCCCGCCGACCAGATCCAAACAATGTAAGCCGCTTCTATCGAGACAACAAGCAAATCCATCCCCTGGTCCCGACCCATAATTGCGGCTCCTCGATTCCGTAGGATCTCGAAATCGTGATGAAGATGTTTAGCCCCGAGGTTCTCGACTAGAAACAAGGCGTGATTCAGCTGTGGAAGGTCGGAAGCTCACCAGGACAAGAGACGAAATTAGGGGTTCGCTCTGCACTCCCCGGCTCCTCTCGTCCCTCCGCGCCTCCATCACGTCCAGATACAGCGTACTGCCGATCAACGCCATGGCGTCGCTGGTAAATCTCTCCCTGGAGAAGTAGAGTTGCTGCAGTTTACCACATGGCGGAAGTTTTTGGTGGCTTGCGCTGGAGCAGGGGTCGCCCGGGATCGAATTGTGGAGAAACATAAGAAATCCGAAGAGAGGCGAGTACATGGGAGAAAAGTGAAAAAATGAGGTGGAAATTATAAATTTTTATTTTTTTTATTTTTTAACTGCCACGTCACTTATTTAACGGTCAACTTGAAGAGTTGACTGCCACATCAGATAAATTTAACAGAGACTAACGAAGAGTGACCAAACTTGAACTATTAAACCAATTTTAGTGACTACGAATATAATTAAATATTTTTAGTGACCAAACGTAACACTTTTTAGTAATTCTAGTGACCAAACTTGCAATTTACCCTTTTTCCATGAGATAGATAGGAAATTAGGGTAAAATACTTTGGCTACCACTAAAGTTTGAGAATTTGGGTAGACATATCACTTAAGTTTGAATATGTCGTCCGGTACCATTATAGTCACAAAAATGTGTATCCGTCTAGTTTTCCATCCAACCCAAATTTTAATTACTTTTTGGTACCCAAAACTTTTAAAAACATCCAAACCTATATTTCAACAAGTTTTTATCTAATATAGAAATTAAAAAATCCTTCTATAAACATAATATTACTAAAATGACTAATCAAAATTGTCAATAAAATAGATAACTAGATAAGTTAGTAAAAATAATAAACAAATATCAAGAAGAAGAATAAATATATAGAATATAATAATAAATATTTAAAATCAATATTAGAAGATCTATTTATAACATCAAACGAAATAATATTCATCTCGCCTTAGATCAAATATTATCTCGTACATAATATTATTCAAACGTTTACATGTATTGTTGAACTCAAAAGAGATAAATACGTAATCACAATCACCGAAGGATGCACGGTCAAGTAAGAGATTGCTCTCGGCCAGAACAATTGCTTCATCGAGGGTTGTCATGTCTATGACCACTTTATGTTTCCAATCTTCTATGGCTTTATCCTATTAAAAAAGGGACAAAATATTGAATCTTATATTGTACAATTCAAATACGGTACTAAGTTTTGAAGAGCACACATACACTGAAACACGTCGGGAATATACATTTGGTGATGATCCCTTTCTTGTTGATTGATTTTGATGTTGAGGTAATGATTGTATGCTTCAACCACAAGTCTATGGGCCCAAGTAGTTCGCTTCAATGACAAAGATGTAGTTGGGCTAGCTTGAAGACTAGAGTTTCCAGTAAGATGACAGCACTACAAAACATAACATGAAAAGAATATTTTGAACATGGATGTGTAAAAATACGAAATTCACACATTCAAATTATGCAGAGGAAAAAGAAAAGAAAAAACAAGAGAATCATTTGGGTTATTAACGATGGCTTCTTCATAAAATATTTAAGATGTGACTACTTACTTGAAATCGTCGGTGGTACTAAAGGCGAACTCAACCATGGACCGTTGCAATGGGTCGAGCTTCGCAGACACATTCTTGGTCAAGTCATACATCGAGGCTGCAAGTGGTTGCTTCCTCGACCTCTGGTATTGAGGAATCTTTAGTGTTGAGAGGAACACAATAGGTGACAACAAAGGCAAGTAATCATCTTTGAAAGCCTCTTCTTGACCAGTCTGCTCCATACTTGCATCAACCCTTCCTTCACAATATCCTCAAAACTCTGCTCAACAGTCTGCTCCACACTTGTCTCAATCCGCTCATCAACAATCTTCTCGACACTCTACTCAACAGTCTCTCCACACTTTGCACAACTTACTCCTTAATAGTCTTCTCAAAAATCTGCTCAACCCTCTTCTGAACATCCTTAACAACAATCTTCTCCACAATTGGCTAAACATTCTGGCCAACCCTCTCCTCAGCAGTGTGATGAACAATCTCCTTAGTAGTCTGTTGTGTTTGGGAAGCGTGCTTGACGATTTTAGCATGTCTTCTTCGGGTGTAGGTGATGGTCAGCATGGTCTTCTCCTTCACCCCAATAGTAGTAGCCTCAACCATGTATGTAGGTTGGTCAGAAAATGCATGCTCATGCACATGTTCTTCATTCTCCTCGATGACCATGTCTGCAGGTTGCTCAGCCAATTTCCCATGACCCCGCTTCCACGATTTGCATTGCCCCCATAGATGGCTTTGTTGCCTCGTGTCCCTCGGTTCCCCTCTTTTTCCCTGACTCATCTTGCACACGTCACAAGGAAAACAACCAAAACCACACCCCATAAAGCCAACATAATCCTTAGCAAGATACCACAGAACACAAGGCATGTGACTTAAAGTTTTAGCCTTCAATAGGTGCAAAGCATGGTAGAATAAGCCTTAACAAATATGATAAGGGCAAGACATCATCCTAGATGATCATTAGAACACATACAAAGTTAGGGAAGTCCTAGAATGAAGTCCACACCTTGAGAAATGATGCCACCAAAGTAGTATTCAGCCTAATTTTGTCCAATTCGCACAAGTAAGCCAAACATGCTAGAGGGTGCAAAACCACCCACAATTGGCCAAAATCATGTGTGAAAGCTAGAAACAACATAATTCAAGCAATATCTAGCACAATCAAAAGTGAGAAGCTCATTGGGGACACATGGTGGCCATCACTCAATTTGAAGCTCAAAACACAAAATTCACTCATCACACATCAATTCATTCACCACACAACATCGCACCATATTATGCAACATGCTAGCGACATCTCTCCCCTTAATTTGACCAATTTTCAAAAAATCACCATTTCCCCAACCAAAACCCTAAAATTCGATTTTCGAAGAAACGTCATAAATTGATAGGAAAACAAACCTGGAAACACAAGTAGAAGACCGGGAAAATGTAATGAAATGATTGGGCATACTTAGAGTCGCCAAAAAAATTTCAACGATGGGAAGAAATAGGCCTCCGCTGGTCAGGAGTAGGTCTGAAAATACCGGAGATATTGACGCGACGTTGGACGGTGCAGATGATGAAGGTTAATAATCGAGAACTTAGTTCATTGAGTGTTTTGCTCAAAGAATTGTCCTTGTTGTGTGGATTGTTTTCCAGCGACGAGCGAGCCTTGTATCGGTGTTGAAGTTGATGTGTGGATTGTTTTCAATTGGGACGAGCCTCTTCCCCGACGTCGGTGTTGAAGTTGCACAACCCAACTCCATCAATTCCCCTGTTACGTTGTTCTCTTTGTCCAATTTGGCTTCTCAACAGCAATCTTGGGCAGTTGAGAGGTTTTCAAGCCTTGGGTTACCTAGCCTCGCAGTTTGGGGCTTATCAAGTGGTATCTTGAGCCTGGTTCAAATCAGTGGCCGTGTGACGATCTTCTGCGGTGGCAGAGACGACGAATTCGTCGACAGAAGGCGGCACGGGCGCAACAAGGTGGACTAGATCGAAGGGGTCTGTGGAGAGTGATCATGCTGCTATTCTGGTAGCGAGACAGGAGGGTAAGAAGAAGAAAGGGGCATATATTCTCGATCTCTCCTCCAACGCAAGGCGACTGCGAGCGGCAGAATCTACTCCGGAGAAGGAGACCGCAGCGGGCGACGAGCACGTTGAACCTGAAATGGCTGAACAGCAGATCAACATGTCTGAACTTCTTCACACCCTTACTACCCATCTCAACCTCACGTTCCAGACTCAATTTGACCAAATCAATCGGCGCTTGGATGCTCTGTCTCCACCAGCACAACAGGATCACTTGGGGTTAATCAAGAACTCGACGAGCGGATTCAGCACCTGGAAAGACGATTGGTTGCAGCCGAAACTGAGCCACGAGCTCGTCATCGCGAATTTCGCGAGCATGAATGGCAACCTCCTGAAGCAGAGTATGGTCCAGCAACAGAGTTACGAGGAATCAAATTGTCAATTCCCTCATTCAATGGCTCCACCAATGCGACGAGTTACCTTGATTGGGAAAGAAAGATGATTCTATTCTTTCAATGCGGCCATTACACGGAAGAACATAAGGTACAGCTTGCTACATACGAGTTTGTTGATTATGCCGCGATGTGGTGGGAGAAGGCCCAGTTACGACAAAGACAAAATTTGCAGCCTCCAATCACCACCGGGGACGAGCTACGAAGCTTGATGAGAGACCAATTTGTCCCCGGATACTATCAGCGAGACTTGTTTGATGCCTTGCAGAGCCTTCGATAAGGGACTCGCTCCATGGACGAGTATTACAAAGAGCTCGAACTGTTAATGTTACGCGCTTATGTACGCGAGGACAAGGAAGCCACAATCTTTTGGTTCCTCCATGGTCTCAACCGCGACA